AAACGCATACTAATTATACAAAACTATATCCGGTGTCCAGATTTTGTGTGTCGGGACTCTGACGTAATCAACTCCGCCGTACTGGGTAGGATCCCAACGCATGTAGATATCGGTCCAACTCTAATTTGTAGTACGGATTCATTTTTATATTCAGACACACACACACACACGCACATAAACACACACACACACATATACTAACATATCGGCCCCAAACATTTGTCGTCAAAATTTGGTTTTTTTCGTCAAGATCGAGTAATTGTATTAAACCGATACCGAACTTTACCTCCATAACATCCGATATATTCCGAACCGGCCTACCGACAATACCGAGAGAATCGTAATTCCGAAGTAACTGCTTAATCAGTAACTTCTCCTTTGATAGTGGCTTGCTACTAAGTTTAGCATAACTTTTTGTATTGGCATTCGTAAAATGTTTAGTATTAGGACTAGTATTTTTGTCATTTTTGTTAATGACACTCTTACTATTCTTGCTCAAGTATTGTAATTTTTTTGGGGGTAATTTATTCTTTTGTTGTTGCAGTTGCTGTTGCTGCTGCTGTTGTTGATGCTGCTGTTGTTGGTGACGTGACGACAACAACGACGACGACGATAACAACAACGATGAAGATGATGATGACGATGATGACGATGATGACGACGATGACGTCATCCTTCGCGACTTAATTGATGGCGCGTTGATCGCTAGTGTAACAATGGTGAAAAATTGTTATTAATAAAAATATTAATTGGATAAAAATTAAAAAAAAAATAAATGAATAAATAAATAAATGAAAAAATAAATAAAAAAATAAAATAAACACTATGTCGATTCGTTGGAAAGGCAAGGGATGCATTTTTGATGAAATTTGATTAATGTTCACAGAGTTAAGCATGATCATCACTCAGATGATCTCCATGTATGTTTGCATGCATGTGTACATGTGTGTGTCTGTGTGTGTATGTGTGTATGTGCGTGTATATATGTGTGTATGTGCGTGTATATGTGTGTGTATGTATGTGCTATTCGGTTTCTAGTTTTAGATATAAATGAACTTTAGTACATGCAAATATTTGTTGACATATACACACATATATATAGTACAGAAAGAG